TTTTAATAAGTATTTACAAACATACAAAAGCCTTTATTAGGGACTTGCACCATACATATTCTCCCAATTGGGTAAGGTAATAATCATCTTGTGTTATTTACATAGGTAGTGAAATAGAAATTGAACTAGCTTTACTCTTCATCTCAAAGTAATTCACTTGTTGACTGGTCTTTTCATAATGATGATCTAAAATAATTATAATAAGCTATTGCATTAGATTTGTTTGCTGATATTTTTGAAAGCAATACGTAGGGTGAAGTGTTGGTACATTTAATTTGTTGATACAGGGCCTTCCTCCCTGCATCAAGGGCTGTACAATTTTTAATAAGTATTTTTAATAAATTGTTTCCTCTTTTTAAAGAGAAAATTCAAATTAGCATTCAGTCGTTGTGTCCTGTTTAGAGAGATTTAGTAGATACAGGTTTCCACCTGGCGTGTCATGGACTGATAAAGATTCTGGATGGTGTGATGGATTTCTTTCCATATTGTCTCCAACTATCGGGCTAAATATTCAGCATTCTGGGGATGGTTGAAATCGCCTTCCTCTCATGTCTGAAATGTGCTCTATGGGTGATAGATCAGGTGTGACCTTGCTTGCCACAGAAAAATTCATTGAGATAGAAAAAATAAATCCAAAGTAGCACGAGCCTTGGGAGCCCTGGCATTATTTTGTTGGAAAGTAATCCCGGGGTGATGTGTGAGCAACGATAATAAAACTGTTCGTAGAATGTCATCTACGTACTGTTGTGCTGACAGGGTGCCAGGAATAACTAACACTGGGGTTCTGCCATCAAATTAAATAGCATCTCGAACCATAACGCTCTGTTGTGGACCTGTGTAGTGTTTGAAAGTAAGGCCAGAATGCACAGGCTGCACAGGATGCCTCCAGACACGTTTACGACGGTCATCATGACACAGTATGAAACGGAACTCATCGCCAAAGACTATATGTTCTCAGTTAACGCCGTTTCAAGCTGATCGCTCTAGAACACCACTGTAGTCGGACTTGTCGGTGTACGGGTGTGAGGGGTAGGCAATCTTAACGGTCGGCGAGCTCTTAGATTGCTCTCTCCTAGTCGTCTGTTGATGGTAATTTTGGACACTTGTGTGCCGGTTTCACGTTTTATGGTAGATAACATTGAATCCGGTGCTGCTACAGCCGTGCTGACAATCGCTCTGTCTTCCTTTCCTGCTGAGACACATGGTCGATCGCTGCCGTCCTGACGTTGCATTCTTTCGTTGTTGATCCATTCTTGCCAACATCGTCTAATAACCGCTTCACTTCGACACAGATGTTCGCGAAATTGTTCAATTTGACGAACCAGCCTATTTCAATATAATGGCACGACCTTTTTCAGAGTCTTACATATGTTCGTAATGAGCACAGATCTTTTGGAGAGACATTGATAGAGTAGAGATAGGGTTCTTTAAATCAATTCTGATAATCAGATCCTTCCATGCCGAATATTGAGTTCAGAATACTCGTGCAGGATGCACAGTTGAGATGTGATGGAGCTCTTGCTTTTCAAATAACGGCCACGAAATTTCAATAAGGTTTTGTCGAAACATCTTTGTATACGTATTTTCATATAAATCGGACAACCCCTTTTGGTGTGTCGATTTTTTTATAGAATATATCTGTGTTAATATTATACCTAGTATTCCTTTTAAAAGAATAACTGATATAAAAAACTATTAAAAAGTTAATTATTCGAATGTAAATGTATTAAATAGGTGATATTAACAAATGTTGAATAAATTAGATACACTTGCCACGTGCATCGCCTATAATCATTTACAGAAAATTTGCATACTTAATAAGAACATTAAGGCATGTAAATGAACAATTTTCTGAAACCGTGACCAGAATAAATTGAATAAAATAGCCTTGTTTATTCATTAAGGGGTATTTAAATAGTCTCCATTGTATCATTAACTAGAGATTATCTATTTAAATAATTAAGATCATCTTTAATATGTAGAATACCAATACATTACCTTTGTAAAATTATTTATCTGATGGATTCAAGTTCAGTTTGGGAACACATGATGCTAGAATACATGTCAGACCTAGGCTCCAGAAGAGATCCCATTTTTGCTAGAGTGGAAAGGCATGCAGCAAGAACCCATGACTTCATGGTGTAAGGTGGCATCAGCTATGAAAGTAGGACCCCTATTGTTTTAATAAAAGGCACAATAACTGCTAAGCTATACATTTCAGATTTGTTGCAACCTGTAGTGCTACCATTTCTTGAACAGACTAATAATACAATTTTCTCTAACAGTATATATATAGTGCCTTATACAACCAACAACTCACGAGCCTTCCTTCAAAATGTTTTCATTCTTTCCTAGCCCAGAAGTTCCCCAGATCGTTTTTCAATTGAGTATATATGGGACATAATGGGGGGCAAAATTTGGCAATCTCCACAGCCAAGTAATCTTCAACAGTTTCTGCAAAATGTTGAAATGGCTAGGTCTAGCATACCAGAAGAAGCCATAATAACTGTATAATAGTATTTCTTGCCGTTTAGCTTCTTGTCTAACTGCCCAAGGAGAAAACACCAAATAATGATAAAAGTTGTGATATCAATAAAATTTAATTTATTTTTCATAAAATACAATCAATTATATTCAGATTACCACTATAAATAGCTCACCAATTTGAAAAATAATTACATAAGGTTTTATAGGTGATGTAATAGTTTTATTGGCCGAAAGGAAAGGTGCCTAGTCTATGTTCATTCAAGTATTAAGTATATATAAATGTTAGTTATCATCACACAAAAACCCAACGAAATATAACATTTATACGATACTTTTGCGCTTAGATTCTTTAAATTTATAAATATATTAAACGCGAAACATTTTTGTGTCTAAATAACTAATAGACAATAACATCTCCTTGTTCAAAAATTCAAGTTTGATTGTAGCAAAACGTGGCTTTGCAGACTAACCTAACGTCTAAATAGAACATCAATTAACATTATCAGTATGTACCAGTAAGAACACGAACAAGAAGAATTAGGGCGATATTTATTCATTTATCACCCACGACTACAACACCCCGATTGAAGTAATCTCGGGTTACTCTCCATTTTTCCTTTTATTTAAGAGTGGCACCTTGTTCTCATGGACAACGCGTATATCTCGGTAGACACCAGCATGGATGATTATAAATAATACATTTAAAGTTTTGAATAAATTAACTAGGACATGACAAGTGGTGTCATTAGATTCATACAGAGAAGACTAAAGAAAAAAATCAACTGTGATAAAAAGGAAATTAAAAAATCTATATGCTATAGAAAATTTAGCAGCAGGTTATGCACCAGTTAAGAAAATCGGAAAGTGTGAAAAAAACTACGATAAAATATTTCAGGTCATATAGACCAGAATATATTGCCAAATGTAAAATCTATATATATAAAATTGAATGTCTGTCTGTGTGTGTGTGTGTGTCCTCTATGGATTCAAAAACCATACATCCAATCGCCGTGAAATTTTGGGATATTATTAGGTGTATCCCCGGAAAGGTTTACGAAAAATAATTTCTTGAATATCTTAAATATCCTTAGAGTTATTTGCAGATTTGTAGCTTTAACTCGCAAGCAGCGCCACCTTGCGACGGAGATAGGCTTAGGTCTGCCCCCCTCCCACCGAGAAAATGTAGTCCGGCCGCCGGCCAAAGTTCCCACCGACCAATCACCAATCAGAGGGATCAAGAGGTCCTGGCGCGCGGGGGCAGAGTTGGTTACACAGCTGTGCCGACCAATCAGAGGGATCAAGAGCTCCCCCCCCCCCGTCCGGCCGCCGACCGGTCAGTCCAAGTTCCCACCGACCAATCAGAGGGATCAAGAGGTCCTGGCGCGCGGGGGCAGAGTTGGTGACACAGCTGTGCAAAGTAGACAAGAAAAAAGCCTCGCGGATGACCTCCGGGAACTACGTCCATCTTCCATAAACGACCATGATTTTATTCAACTTATCGAGTATTTTTAAAGGGACCGGGAAAATATGTTCACTAGATAAAACGATGATTTTGTAATGTAGAAAATTAGGAAAGACAAAATTCAGGATTACACGGCACACAGGGACCGGGAAAAAATAATCACTTTATCGAGAGATTCACGACCATGATTTTATTCAACTTATCGAGTATTTTTCAAGGGACCGGGAAAATATGTTCACTAGATAAAACGATGATTTTGTAATGTAGAAAATTATGAAAGACAAAATTCAGGATGAAACGGCACACAGGGACCGGGAAAAAATGTTCACTTTATCGAGAGATTCAAATTTACGAGTTTCAAATTATCAAATTATATATATTTTTTATAAGTTTATAGAGAATTGTTTTAACAAATGTTCGTTAGAAAAACCTTTACTCGGGTAAAACCTCGGGCGAAGCCGGGTACATCCGCTAGTATTTTATATAGATAAATATAGCCAAGACTGCTGAGAATTCATGTCTCTCGAATCAAGACTTATTTAGAGAAAATTGATGAGACCATTCAGGAGAACGTGACAATCTCTTGAAAGGAAAAGGTGCTACATCAAGCTCTGATATACCTAAATAAATAATTTTTAATATTATTTTCAACTTTTTTTATATATTATTTTCAATTTACTTTTCAACAGAATATTTGTATTATATTAATATTTATTATATTTTGCAACATACGCACACAATTATTACCCTTTACATATCTTTGAATTTTGATCAGAAAAAAAAAAGAATGTGTTTTTAGCCAATTGTTCTAGTATCAAATTTTATAACTGAACATTCTGGTTGAGAGACTCAGCCTGTAAAAAGGAACAACATGAGTGAAGATACAATTAAGGTTGATTAACCTGCTAGACCAGCAACTTGGAGCATTCCTTCGATAAGATAATTAATACAAGATGCGATATAGAGTTCTCAATTGTCGTTTTACAATCACAAGCCGCATTATATTGTTTTATAAATTACTTTATGTATTATTTATGAACGGAAAAATATGTCCAGGGTAGCCTAGTCGACTAGGCGTCTGACCGGTTAGCAGAACACTGTGGGTTCGATTCCCATCCCTGGACACTTTTATTTTTCTTTTATCATTACTCTTCACAATTCATCATTTCATAACTCACCCCTAAGGTTAGAAATAATCGTTATTTTTCCTTTGAATAAATTTTGATTTTTCGTTGAAAAGAAACACCTGCGGAAAAATTCTCAATTGTCGTTTTACAATCACAAGCCGTATTATATTGTATTATAATATCAATAAAATCTGAGATTTTCTATGTTGACAAGAATACCTCGTTGATCAGATGCTCCATTTCAGAATACTAAGATATCTTTTCAACCAGTCGATAACCTTCGTAACTAAACTCGAAGGGAGAAAATATGTTGTTACAAAATTGAATGATATAATGAGTCTGAAAATCCATCCATTTCCCTTAATAGAGACTATAATATATAAACTATCCCGCGCTAATTAACTTAGCCTTACGGAAAGTAGTTATAAATCCCTTAGTCCTTCATTACACTAAAAAGCTATTACCAGTAAACCCATCTTCTCTATAGTCATCTCCAGCCCTCCATTAATATTATTAATATATACTACCTTATAATATCAAAATAAATCAAAATTTGTATCGCGCATTTTTCAATGATTCAATGTGTTTCAAATATTAATTGAGGAATTCATCCAACACATCTCTAATATTTTTATACTTTTTACTAAGAAGAAAATATTAGGATCAATTTTATAATGCATATAATTTTTCAGAATAAAATATAAATTTTAAAAAGAGGGCATATCTAAATTATTCCTGTTTCAATAACACTCCTTAAATCAACTTCTTAAAAGGTTTTAAAATGTTCGTAAAACACAGAAAAACCTGTGGATGAACAAAACTAGTGAAATATTAAAGATGCAAATTAATATAAAAAGGATATAAGCAATTAAAGAAATCGACAATTAAATATATTTTATTGAAACTTAGTTAGATTTAACAAAATTTAATGAGAGATTAAACAAACATAAATTATATTTTGTAAAATGAATAAAAGCTAAAGGCAACGAGATTCTTCATTAAAGCGATATAATCCTGGCAAGCTTCCGGACTATAACGTCCTTCAACAGGTTATTATGCGAATAGAAGAAACTAGAGAAGATTGTTTATTGTACGAGGTGTGTTCAGAAGGTATCGCGAATTTTGAATTTTCGCGGGTTACGTATATTCGAATTTCGATCTTTTTGTGGCTTTATGTTGGTACTCATGTCTCTCACTTATGCCGACAAGCTCGGCCATTTTGAATGTTCACTTAATTGTTGACAGCTGCTTTGCTTGCAGGTGTTTTGGATCGTCTTCGATTTTTACCTATTAAAAAAATGGATCAAAGAACCTGTATCAAATTTTGTGTGAAAAACGAAATTAAATGCGCGGATGTATTCCGAATGTTGACTGTGGCATACGGAGAATCTACCTTGGACCGAAGCAACGTTTATCGGTGGTATAAAATGTTCTCAGGAGGCCGAGAAGATGTGAGCGACGAAGAGCGTGCCGGACGCCCGAGCACTTCAACAACAGACGAAAAATTAATGAAGTGGAGAAAATGATATTGGCCAATCGTCGAATCACCGTTAGAGAAGTTGCTGAGGACCTAAACATATCGATTGGCTCGTGCCATTCGATTTTTATCAATGATTTGGGCATGAGACGGGTCGCCGCGAAATTCGTACCAAAGTTGCTCAATTGCGACCAAAAACAGCATCGCATGAACATTGCTAATGAGATGTTGGACTCTGTCCGCGACGACCCAAATTTGCTCCAGAGGGTCATAACTGGTGACGAAGCGTGGGTTTATGGTTATGACGTGGAACCAAAGCTCAATCATCTCAAAGGAAGCTGCCGCACAAACCAAGACCGAAAAAAGCGCACCAAGTTCGGTCGAACGTGAACGTTTTGCTGACAGTTTTCTTCGATTGCAGGGGCGTGGTGCATCATGTGTTCTTGCCACAGGGTATAACGATAAATAAGGAATATTACCTGCATGTTATGCGCAATTTGCGCGAAGCAATCCTCCAGAAACGCCAGGATTTGTGGAAGAACAAAAATTGGCTTTTGCACCACGATAACGCCCCTGATCACACATCGTTGCTTGTGCGCGACCTTTTGGCCAAAACCAACACACTAATGATGCCGACAGCCACCGTATTCCCCAGATCTGGCCCCCTGTGACTTTTTCTTGTTCCCTAAACTGAAGAGGCCCATGAAAGGACGACGTTACGCTACGCTTGACGAGATAAAGACGGCATCGAAGGAGGAGCTGAAAAGATTTTTAAAAATGATTTTTTGAAGTGCTTCGAAGATTGGAAAAACCGTTGGTACAAGTGTATAATATCTCATGGGGATTACTTTGAAGGAGACAAAATAGGTATTAATGAATAAATAAATAATTTTTGAAAAAACACAAAAGTCGCGATACATTTTGAACACACCTCGTATTTGCATAACAGCCTGTTGAATGACGTCATAGTCCGAAGGCTTGTCAAAATTATATCGCTTAAATAAAGAAACACGTCGCTGTTTGCTTTTATTCCTTCTTCGAAATGATGTCTGGAGATTCCTCTTCTTGTAATATAAATTATTTACAATACCGAGTTCGAATGCCTAGCCATCTCTAACCTTACATTTTCGACGCTGAATATTTGCACATTGTGACTTTTTCTTCACATCCAAGCTATATTTAGAATAACTAATTGTTCTGAACAATATAACAACCAAAATATCCCATTATAACATAACCCTTAATTAATTCTTCAAGTTCCTGAATCAAAACTCTACATGCTTTCAACCACAAGGCATACAACAAATACACTAATATAGCATCAGAAGGAGACAACAACCTATAAGATCAGACCTGTACAGGATGACACCTAAAATATATGAACATACAAAACCACATTACTGTCAAAAACGTTATAGTCGCATAGCGGCACGTACTGAAGCAAAAAATCACATTCAAACCCACAGAAATAAAATATTTAGTAAAAGTGTGTCGATATACCATATAAATATTTCGCCATTAAATCCATGGAAAGTGCTGGCGAGTCTAAAATCTAATTAAGACAATTTACACGTGTTCGCTTTAGGTTACAGCTGTGGGAAACAGCCATTAAACTACCAAAAATGGCCATTTTCTCTCCTAATCAGAAAGTAATTAACTCTCTCCAACCCGAGCTCGCGTCTTAAAATCCCACAGGAAAATTGCACAAACAACCCGGGCCTGAGCCATTAATCAATCGAGACGACCCAACTCTCTTTCCCATTCTTTGTTCGTTACAGATCTTCCTCGCCCCTTTCTCCAAGCACATAATTAGCCGGCACTCTAACTGACCACTTTCAATTGATTACTATTATTGGGTTTGAAGAAATTTCCATACATATTACAGTCTCAAACCAATGAGTCTAATCTAGATATAAACCTTTAAGTCGTTCATGTGTATGGTTCTTGAAAATTGTATCCACAGGTTAAAGAAAGCTTTTATTCATTCTTTTATAAATCGCTTTTGCTGTTTCAAAACATTTATTCTTAAAATACCTTTCGAAAATATATTATTGACAATTAATATTACTGCTCAATTATGATAGAACCCATACCAACATTCAATATACTAAATATTTTGAGGACTCTTTTATCTAATCAATAACGCATAAGACAGCCAACAATATTGATATTATATATGGGTATTACTGTATTGAGCCCTACATATATTTTAATGAACATTTGAAGAGAGAGAGAGAGAGTATATATATACATATAAATCTCTTATTCAATTTTTTAATAACTAGAATAGATTAATTTGAAAAATGCCAGCTACTTAAAAAATTATAGACACCTCAAAAATGTTGTAAACTCACTTTAACCTTTAAATTATCTTTATTCGGGTCATGCCATCTACTTTACTCCAAGCCTCTCGAATGCTACCACAAATCCCTACTATTCCACGCCTTTTCTTTGGGTTGTGTGTACATGCATTCTACTTTTTCTCAATTCTCGTCTGTAAATCAGTCAATTTCACCAACATTCTCTTCAAATGTGGGTTAAGTAGAGTATACCTCCAGCTCACAATCATATTGTGGAATAATGGAGATCCATTTCGGGACGTCGGCCAAACGGATTGGGTGACATCAAACAAACATACCCGCCAGCGGCGCCAGCCGGCAACAAAGGATTAGAGCGCAGCCTGGTCTGCTGACCAGTTTGGTGTTTTCCTCTGTCCTCTTAACATGTTTTAAATAAAGTTAGTTTGAAGGAGACCTTCACCTCCTTTTCTTAGTGATCTGATAAAATCCTTGCAACAGCCTTCAAAAGAATCATCACTGCGTATTATTTTACCGAATTTCGCATCAGTGTTTTGTGAAACGATTACCAGACTTTTCTCCACACACATATTTTTCTCTCCAATGTCTTTCGCAAACAGGGCCAAAACACTTATACTCTGCCAGGAATCCAGTCAACACTGATTTCATTATCACTGCGTAGCTTAGTCTTAATTAACCGGAATATCTCACCCGATTCAGCACCTTACAAGTTTTGTATTCCAAAAAACTTGTCGGTTAAACTATACATGAAATGATTGTTTGAAATTCTTCTCGCAAAAAGGTTACGCCTCCACACAGCCCAACAACAACAAAAACAACCCGAAAAATATAACGTTTACTATATCAAATCAATTAGTTGATATCAAACAGCTATCTATTTCCACCTAATTACAAAAATAATAATTATTTTTAGGAAATCTTCATTGATTAATTTTATTTTATACAATCTGTGTAATTACACTTTCTTACAAAAGTAGTTTTTCTATTCTCAAAAGAAACAATATCTAAACTTATTGTGGATTTTGGGTCTGATTCCAAATATACCATTAGTGTTTTTCTATTTAGGAAGGTTTCTGTGTAACTATCTTTTTTTCGTATTAGGATAATCCTTTGCTCAAACTTCATTACATTAGCTAGTGGTGATAGATTCGATGCTGGTTTATTCTTGTTTGTTCAAGTTGACCAACGTAAACCAACGATTT